TGGACCACCTTTCTAAAAGGTGGGGGTAGCATAAGGAAATTTCCTGATACCACCTGACTTGGTCGAACTATACGTACACAATACCAACTTTCAGAAGACCGAGCTCGGCCCGACGGTCTCGCCTCGCCTCCCGATCGTGTTTCGCGCTGCCTTCAGGCTTGAAAAAGCCGAACCAGCTCCCAAACTCGCTATCCCGATGTCTCCTACCAGCTAAGCCCTTCGCCATATCATCGCTAGGCATCGTTGTTTGATCATTAATTGAGTTTACGGTGTCTTTATTTACTTGCGCACTCTACTTATTCACAACTTATAATAGAAAATATACTCGGTGTAACGACGCATGATAGCCCCCGTTTACAGCGTCCGAATCTTCCACTGATTTGGCTTCATTGCATGAACAGCCTTCCCCGCGACCAAATCCGACCTTCGTTGCGCTACCAATGAAGCGCGGCGAGATCAACAAAGCCGACGCGCGTGGTTTGGCAATGGCGCCTCGAGATGGACATCAGCAAATTTGCAGATGGGCAGATGCACGAACTCCAAGTGAGGGAGGTTCTGACTTTGCTGTGTGCTACATTTTACCTACCCCTTTCCTTTGCAATGTGCCACCGCGTCATGTGCACTGGTGGTTCGCGTCGAGGGTCGCCTACTTGAAAGATGACATGAATTTGCCTACTTGCATGTGGAACAAAATCAACGAATCAGGCGGGTGAACTGTGCACTATCAGCCAATCCAGAGGAAACGCGCACGCTGACCCACTCCTACTTGCGTGTGTGCAGCCACGAAGGGAGCGTGCTATGTTGCTGCTGCTTAGTAACAAGCAAATCCAGCGCCATAATCTCCGCTTCGTGGCCCACCAGCACCACAACCTTTAGAGCGACTCGCTCTAGACTAACATAGCGATCGTCGAACTCTAGTCCCAAGCGTCCCGCGCGCCCAGAGTTTCTTCCCAAGACTAACGAGTACGGTAAACAGCGTCCCAATCCCATGTATTCAGTTCAGAGCTTTCCCAAACCAACGAGTACAGTGAAAGCGACCAGTATCAGCTCAGCTCTTGTCTCTTCCTCGGGCCCCTTACGCCTCTCCTCTGGCCCGCCGCGCCGCATGGCGCCCGTTCCTGTGGATGGATCACCAGCGGAGTGTTCGCACTTTTAGGGCTCTTCTCCCTTTTCTCAAGGCAACCTCCCTCTTCAGCGATCGCAACCCGTTAGGAGGCACCCACCGTCTCTCGCACGACTGCTAATACCTCACCTCAGATTAACCTTTCCACGCCAGCGTCACTGAATGATAGGTCAGCATGGCGTCGCCAAACAGTGCTAGCTCGCGCGCCGACTCCCGAACTAAATTGCGCGGCTCCTCGCCGCCTCCGCGCCCCCCGCTCGTCGCGGCACTAGAAGGAACAATGTGCCCTTTCCCCCGCGCCAAGGGTGCGCGCGGCCCCCTCACGTGGCTGCACGCCGCGCTCTGCTCCCCCCATCACGCGGCGCTGCTGCGAGCCCCTGCCGCCCTCTTCTTCCTGCTCCTCATCACCGCATGGTTCTCGGGCGCGCTGCATTGGCCCTTGTTTTCCCTCCCCGCATTCAGCGCCGTCGAAAGCGGCGTAGGGCCGTCTGAACTTGCCATTGAGGAGGCACGGCTGCAGGCGATTGAGAGTCTAGCCTTGAGATTGTCGCCGAAGTCGACGAAGCAGCACGACGACGTGGCAGCTGGAGGTGACGTGAAGAGAAAAGCGCCGCGAAAGGTGGGCGGTGGGAAGGCGCATCCGCCCGTGAAGAAGGGGGAGCAGGCGACGGTGAGTGCGAAAGAGGCGCGTGGCGCTGAAGGGGTAGCGGAGGGATCAACCACGCAACTCGCGAAGCTGTCTGCTAAGGAAGTGGCGAAAGACATGGGTAACTTGCTAGCGGAGGAGGAGATTTCGGCGGGAGACGCGGGTGGGACGCGGGATGGCAACGGGCTGGAGAGTGGGCGCGAAGGGGGCGATGCGTCGGACGATGTAAGTGGATCGACTGGTGAGGGGGGAAACGGAGAGTGGGAGGGGCGGACGGAGAGGACAAGGGAGGTGAATAAAGCTTCTGGGGAGGATGAGGGGAGGCGAGGAGCTGGCGATGACAGCGAGGACGAAACAGGCAGAGTGGATCGCGATCGACTCGATCCAGACGGTCCCCCCGCCCACAGCGATGGTGCGGCTGGTGACGCTCTGAGCGAGAATGAAGGTGATCCCGTTGCCGCCGCTCACAATTCCCCCTCTGCGACAGCTGTCGCATCAGTTTCCGCTGCTGACACGTCGGGTGACTCCTCGTCATCACCCCATTCCGAAGATACCGCGCTATCAGCATCGTCGCAATCACCATCGCCCAACGGGAACGACGGCTCTGAGGCGACGACATCCGTCGCACAGCCATCGTGCGACGGTCGTCGTGTATTCGTCTACTCCATGCCGCCCGTCTTCAACGACGACATAGTTCGCACGGCGTGCAACGACGACCCGCTGCTCGCATGGCTCACATGCGATGCCTTCCGCAACCGCGCGCAAGGCCCCCGCCTCCCCGCCAACCGCGACGGCGGGCGCGCGCTGATCGCCGCGCTGCTGGCGGCGAAGTTGGAAAAAACGGCGCAGGCGCGCGGGGAGGGGAAAGCGGAAGACGCGGAAGCGGGGGAATGGGCGTGGCTGCACCGGTGGTACAGCACGGAGCAGCACCAGATCGAAGCGCACTTCCGCACGCGCTTGGAGAACCACCCGTGTCGAACGCACGACGATACCGAGGCTGACGTGTTCCTGGTGCCGGCGTATATGGGGTGGAACGCGTATAAGAACACGCTTCACCCTGGCCACATGCCGCACCCGGGTCACTCGCTCAAGGAGTTTCTTCTCGGGCAGCCCGCGTTTCAGCGAAGCAAGGGAGCGCGCCACGTGGTGGTGCTGGGGCGCGCGATTTGGGACTTCGCCAATCACCATCAGGTGGACGACCCGCCGCATTACAACGTCATTTTCGTGCCAGAGCTCGCTAATGTCACATTCCTTACAGTCGAGCAGCCGCCCTATAGAGAGAGCTACGCCACGCCCATATTCTCAGTACCATACACCACCACTTTCCACCCCGCGTCGCTCGCGGAAATCAACCACTGGCTCGCGCTCGTCGCCGCGCGCCGCCGCCCGTTTCTCTTCTCCTACGTGGGCGGACGCCGCCCCTCGGGCACGACGAGCGGGCCACTGCGCAAGGGGCTGATCGCAGAGTGCGAGCGCGTGGGGAACGCGACGTGCCTGTGGATGAAATGCACGGGGCCCGACGAGGTGGGGCAGGAGCTGCCGCTCTTCACGGCGGCGGACGCAGGGACCGCGCTGGGAGCGGCGGTGGAGGCGGTGGTGGGGAGCGCAACGCCGCGGGACGCGGAGGGGGAGGACGTGGCGGAGTGGGTGCCGTCAGGATGCTATGACACGTGGCAGGTGGCGGTGGTGATGCTGCAGAGCAAGTTTTGCCTTCAGCCGACAGGGGACAGCTCTGTTAGACGCTCCACGTTTGACTCGTTATTAGCAGGCTGCATTCCCGTGTTCTTTAAAGAGGAGAGCTTTAACATGCAGTACCCGTGGCACTTCCCTGAAGACAGGAGCACCATCTCCGTGACGCTCGACGAGGCTCGTGTGCTGAATGGGACGGCTGACGTGGCAGCTGAGCTGGCAGCGATCCCGGAGGAGCGTGTGGCGAGCATGCAAGCGAGGATAAGGGAGTTGGTGCCGCAGCTGCTGTACCGCCACATGGCAGTGCCACGTGGAGGGGAGGGGGTGGAGCGGAGGGTTGGGGGGGATACTAGAGAGGGCGGTGGGGTGGAGAGTGGTGACGGGGAGTGGAAGGATGCTTTTGATGTGTCGTTTGACAGCCTTGTTGCTGAGTTCAAGCGGAGAGAGGGGAAGAGTGAAGGAGAGGGGGGTGAGTGAGGGGAGAGGGGGATGAGTTAGGGGGGAAGAGGGGTAGTGGGAGTGCAACGGTGGAAGAGTGAGTGAGTGTAGTGGGGAGTGAGGAGGCAGGGCAGATTAGGTGTGGTTAGGGGAGCAACAGTGAGCGGAGAACAGGCAGGTGGGTTGGAAAAAAGCAGTCGAGCTCAACATTCTCGTGCAGGGTCGGTGCCCGTGCTCCCTCGGCACGCATCGGCAGGCAGCAGGCGTGGGCAGGCAGCCGCACACTGTGGTGTGGTGCTTGCCCCGTGCTCACCGCCTGGAGTTGGCGCAGCCGGGTGGGGTGGCTGGCAGGGGTGAATGGAGCAGCAGGGTGGGGTGGCTGGCAGGGGTGAATGGAGCAGCAGGGTGGGGTGGCTGGCAGGGGTGAATGGAGCAGCAGTGGGCGTGACATGACAGAGAAGAGCTAGAGTGAGGGAGCCAAGGGGGCAGGGGTCAAGTGGGGAGCCAAGGGGGCAGGGGTCAAGGGGGGAGCCAAGGGGGCAGGGGTCAAGGGGGGAGCCAAGGGGGCAGGGGTCAAGGGGGGAGCCAAGGGGGCAGGGGTCAAGGGGGGAGCCAAGTGGGCAGGGGTCAAGGGGGGAGCCAAGGGGGCAGGGGTCGAAATATGGTTGTACTGTATTGCAGGATGGTAGTTAGATGCTACAACTTGTAGAAATATGTAACACTGAATGTAGAGTAAGTTCCTTAATTCAAGGCCCCGCTAGTCCACCAGATGGCTGTGGCTGCAGTCATGAAGGATACCAGTTATGGTGTCGCCCACTTTCAGACTGGCTTTCCAAATTTAGCCGTATCATCAGAGATGGATGTACGCTGCAGCCCACACATGCATGCCTAACCCCTGCCATTCCCTGCAACGTCATGCCACAAGATGGCACACCATGGCAGCACAGCAGATGCAGCGGCGGCAATCGTGCGCCTCAGAGGCCCTCCTCCACTCCAGCAAGCGCCGCTCCACGCGCTCCCCTCCCTCCTCCGCCACGCAGCATGCGAGGCATGGCACGGCGCCGCCCATGTGCCCTTCTCACGGCAGCTACTCGGATGTCTCGATCAAAAGCCCTCCAGCACGCGCCGCTCCACGCGCTCCGCCCCTTCCTCCGCCAGCCAGCACTTGAGGCGCGGCAGCCACACCTCCCTGACGGCGCGGAAGCGCTGCAGCGACGGGCTGTCGGAGAGCACCAGCAGCACCACTCGGTCGTTAGGGCGCAGCGGGGGAGGCACGGAGGGGATGGGCACCAGCATCTGTGCGCAGGGGCACAAGTGGGGCATGCAGGGGGGGCGCATAAGGGGGGTGGCAAAAAGGGGCATGGTACATCTGGGAAGAATTGGCAGCAGCAGGTGGGACGGGGAGGATGTGGGGCATATCCATCCGCATCTGCACACACACTGCCACAAGGCGTGCACCGTGCACGGGAAGGTGAGCGGTTGTGGCGAGCGCAAAACGAATGGAGGTAAGGGAACAGAGAGAGGACGGGCACCAGAGGATGGTGCTGGTGTGCATGCTAGAACAGGCATAAGGGTGTGAGCCATGGAACATGCACAAGTGAAACTATAAGGATTGAAAATTGCAGTATTTGACTCTGCGGGTGCTGCTGGCGTCATTCCCACTTGCCTCTATGCATGTGCCGCTGTCATCGCCAATCAGCAACCGCCACCTGGCCAGCGGGCCCCTCTGCTCCACCTGCACGTCCAGGAGCTGCGCCTGCCACACGCCTGACGGGGAGGTGACATGTGGGGGAGGTGGCACAGAGAGGAGTTACATGTTGGTGCATGCAATCCCCACTTGGGTAACAATCACCTCGTCCCTCTCTGCACGTCTGAGAGACGCACATTTTGGTAGCCATGCCCTGAACCGACAGCAACGGGAGGAAAAGATTGGCAATCAGGAAATGTATCATGCATGGGTGAGATGGAAATGATTGAAGGGGGAGAGCAATGTGGGCGTAGAGGCAAGTGGATGGCATGACACTTGACTCTGCTCTGTGCATGCGCTCTGTCTCATGCCCTTCTGCATGCTTTTATCACTCCCCACTCACCCACGAGCTCATACCCGACTCCAAACACCTGAAATTCTATATCAAAATCCCCTCACCTGCATACTTATATCGGACCCGGAGGGCAGAGTTGCAGGCAGCAGCATGCCAGAGAGGCCACCAGAGGAAGTACATGGCGGCAGCGATGGTGGCGAACACGTTCACGTTGTACAGCAGCACTGCGCCGCCCATGGAGAGCACGAAGCGCTGCAGCCAGTCTAGCGGGGAGCCCATGCAGGCCACAACCTGAGCGAGAGAGTGTGGGAGTGAGAGACGGAGGGAGAGAGGGAGTGATGGAGGGAGCGCGTGTGGGAGCGAGTGTGAGGAAGGGCAAAGCAAGCCATGGGTGGGCCGTCGTGGGATGCAATGCAATGCGTGGGTGCAAGAGCATGCATGAGAGTGCCAGTTGCATGCGTGGCATGTCACCGCATCGCACCTGGGAGCCAGAGCCAGCACAAGGGAGGAGCGAGTCGAGTGAAGAGGGGGGCAGGGGGAGCACCGAGGGGAGAGGGCGCGAGGAGGAGGTGGGGGAAGGGGAAGGCTGGCGGAGAGGAACAGGGGCAGGGGAAGGGGGTGAGGGGATGGGTGCGAGGGGGAAGGAGGAGGAGGAGAGGGGCTGCAGTTGCAGCTGTTGCTGTGGAGGTGATGATTGTGGCAGTTGCCTTGATGCTCGCTGCTTCTGCTGCTGCTGCTGCTGCTGCTGTGATCTCCTGCTCATGTCCCCACCAACCATCCCAGTACCCATGCTCCCACCCGTGCTACCCCCCCCATCTCCGTCGGCCCCACGCCTCTTTTCAGCGTACTCCACGGCTCTCCACCTGGCCTCCCACCCTTCACCCGCATCCCCACAGCGTCCCTCTGCTCCAACTCGTCTCACGCGCTCTACATTGCCGTCCCCCATCCACCCCTCCACGCCCCCCGCCCTCCCCCCTTCTGCTCCGCCCCTCCCCTCCCCCCAGCCTCCGTGTTGACCCCGCACGCCCTGCTCCTCGCCGTCCCCATCCCATCCGCTCCCCCAATCCGCAGCCCCGTTCTCCCGCCCCCTCCCCGTGTCCCACTCCCCGTTGCGCACCGACTGCGCTCCCGCGTCGCCATTGGAAGGTCGCGTCAGCCAATCAACGGCGCCGCCTGCCTCCTGCCGCAGCCTATCCTCGGATGCCACGTCATCGGCGTACCCAGCAACACGCTGCCGCGAACCCTTACTTCCCGCCTTTCTTCCCTGAGCTATGCGCCACTCCCCCTGTCGCTGCGACTGTGTTTCCGCCCCCCACCGCTCCCCCTCCCCGCGACGCTCCTCCGCCTCGAAGCCTTCCGCCCAGCGCCCCGCCGCCTGCGACAATTTCCGCCCTTCCGAACGCCCCTTGGGTCCGCTGCCCTGTCCGGCCGTTGCGCGAACGCGAGCGGAAGCGCGAACCACAGCAGAAACAAGGGCGGCGCGCGCAGGCACGAGCGAAGCAGGTCGTGCGGCTGCGAGTAACGACAGACCGCAGCTATTGGCGCAGCGAAAACGCTCCCCGTTGAGCGCGCGAGCGGAGGGCGACGCAACGGGCGGAAGCATGGCTGCGGGCAAGGGAGACTAGAACTGGAGGCGAAGGGGCGAAGTGGTGACTGCGTGGCGAGGCGGAGCACCGTCGAGAGGCAAGCAAGGTGCAGGCGGACGTTGGAGTGAGTGTCGAGCAACGCGCGATTCTAGGGTTGAATACGAAAATTCAAAGCTCGAATAGGAAATTTCAAAGCTCGAAACGCGGGTTTTCCGATTGGCTCCCACAATTTCGGATGACACAAACACGGGATGACACGAAGCTAGGAATACGCCCTAAGAGTTGGACATGTACCTTGGTGTCATCAGACAACATACGCGATAAGATGATGCTCTCGATTTTTGAGAAAATGTACAGTACTTGTATCTAAGTTACCGTATAACTATTTAACATAACACTGGCCTAATTCCATCTAAGGGATGGTCAGAGTGCATCAGTGACACACGTATACTATTATTGTGGAAGGGGCCCCGTTCCACTAGAAGGCGTGCGTTTGGCATAAAGCATTTTGAGAATTCTCAAAACACTCAGTGCATAGCTCTAACCTTGAAAATTAGAAAAAGGCTTTCTCGGCCATGCCCCTTGGTTCATGAGCAACCAGCTATTCGTCTGCCATTCATGACGAGCTTGCCGATCAGGCAGGCTCATCCTTGGGCTTCGTCCCACAAACCGTGTGCGCAACACAGTCATCATCCTTCCTCCCCTTCCCTTCCTCGTCTCCCCCGGTCACGTGCCTGGTTTGCGCTTGAAGCGGTTGGGCTTGGTGGGGTCTAGCGGCACATAGGGTGGTGGGGAGGCCGGCGGTGGCGGTGGCGGCGACTTGGCGGGCGACGGCGACGGCGACGGCTTAGGCTTGGAAGGTGATGGGGATGCCTTCGGCTTGGAGGGCGACGGGGAAGGCTTGGGCTTCTTGGGCGTTGGCTTGGGCTTGGGTTTCGGTTTAGGCTTGGAGGCGGCAGTGGTGGAGTCGCCGGAGAAGAGCGGCTCGGCGAGCAGCATCTCGTGAAAGAGGTCGACCCATATGTCCGGCACGCCTGGTTGGCACCAATGTAGGCAGTCCAGGTACTTCACCGGCTGTTGGGTTGGGCGGTGGGGATATGGGATGGGATTGGGAGTGGGGATGGGTATGAGCATTGGGAAAGTTATGAGAATGGGGATTCGGTGGGGTAGGGACAGGCAAGGGAGTGGATATGTGTGCAACAGACAGCATCCTCTCTTGGAAAAGGTCCACCCAGATGTCAACATGCCCGGCTGGCACCTTTGCAGACAGTCGAGCGACTGGTGGGGAAGGGGTAGGTGGGGGTTGTGGGCATGTTATCGAAGGTGGGATGGATATAAAATTGAGAATGGGGATGCGAGTTGTGCATGCATTCATATGACGGGCACTCCTGGCGGGCACCGGAGCAGACAGTCTAAGGGCGCGTGTCTTCTGGTTTTTATAAGCAAAACTCGAGTTTTTGGTTCAACTTTTCCATCTGAGCCTAGGTCGACCTAGGCTCGAGTATAGCCAAATCTGTAACCCGAGTCGCGGTTCCAACACTCTCGAGAACCACAAGACACACAAATGGTCGACTTTCGAAGTTGAACTTTTGCAACTTTCCCGAGTCGCGGCCCATAGTCGTAGGTTACCCGGTTTGGCCTCTTGACAGAGCGCCACGTATGTCCCCTTGCGTCCACCGCCACATGTGAGTTGGCGAAGCCGGAACCCTGTCGATCGAGTCGCTCGTGCTAACGATGTCAGCTGCGACAGTCGCAGAATTCGCTTCTTCATCGTGTTTGGTCAAAAGGACACACGATTGGATTTTCGTGCGAGACTGTTTGGTACGAGAAGTTCAACCATAGATTCGGTCCCGCTTCAGACATGACATTGTCCTTGGACACACGATGGCCATGCGAAGCATCTAACGAAATTAACGAATAAGGTTACCACCAAAAGTTCAACCAAATTTCCGAACTACACCAAAAGACACGCGCCCTAAACACTTCACCGGCTGTGGGGGATGGGCTGTGAGGGGGTGGACTGTGAGGGGTGGCCGGTCGGGATGCGAGTGGGAATGAGAGTGGGGATGGGGATGGGGATGGGGATGGGGATGGGGATGGGGATGGGGATGGGGATGGGGATGGGGATGGGGATGGGGATGGGGATGGGGATGGGGATGGGGATGGGGATGGGGATGGGGATGGGGATGGGGATGGGGATGGGGATGGGAGTGGAGATGTGTGTGGTTGAACATGCACCAAAACTGGAGAATCTCGTTATGCATGAGTGCGAGGAGTGATACGGGTGAGAGGAACGAGAAGAGCGAGAGGAGGAGGATGGAGAGGAGCGCACGTTGTTCTTTTTCGAGTAGATCCCGCAGTGCGCCTCGGGGCGGTACGCGCTCACGAGCGTGATGTCAAACCGCCGCACCGCCGACCCCCCGGGGAACGCGGCGCGCTGCATGGGCCAATAGCGCGAGAGCTGCACGTTGGTTCGCAGCATCTTCTCAATCTCCTTGTCGTTCAGCACGCGCCCCGGCGACCCGCACACGCCGCTGCCGCCGATCTTCTTGGCGGAGTGCTGCGGCGGCGCGGTCATGAAGAAGGGCACGGGGAACGCCTTGCCCGCCTGCCTCCGCGCCTCGAAGAAGTTGGCGATCGTTTTCAGCGCGCGCCTGGAGTGGGCGAGGGGAGAAACGGGGCAGCGGGGAAGGGGAATCGGGGAGAGGAAGGATACGTCAAAGGGGGCATGCGTGAGTGTGCTGCATGCGTACGAGCGTGCATTATTTCCCCTGTGAATCACGCAAGGCCCATGCATTCTCCCTCGCCCCCCGCGCCACTCACACATGCGCCATGCACGGGTCGACGGCGTTGAGCGTCTGCCAGTCGCACAAGCGCCATGCACCCTATTCCCCCTCCCTTTCCCCCTCTCAGCCCACCCCCCTTGCACTCACGCGTGCGCCATGTAGGGGTCGACGCCGTTGAGCGTCTGCCAGTCGTCGTTGGTGAAGATGAGGCGCGGCGCGTCGGGCACGACGCGCCAGTGCGACGTGGTCTCGAGCACCACGGCGTGCCACTCGCCCACGATGTCGCCCCACTGCGGGTTGACGGTCGTTACGTCGATGATCGCGTCGTCGGGGCCGGGCGTGAATCCCGTTGCTAGCTTCGCTATCATGCCCTTGTCTGTGGCGTTGTGTGCAAGTGGGGGGAAGAGGAGGGAGAGGGAGATCAGCTCGGCGCGCCATTACGGCGCGCCACCACGTCGTTCCGCTGCGGGTTCACCGTCTCCACGTCGATGGTCGGGTCGTCGGGGCCGGGCGTAAAACCGGTCGCCAACTTCGCTATCATGCCCTTGTCTGACGGGGGTTAATTGCGTGTATGATTGTATGCGTGGGTGCGTGCAAGGGGCCGGGGGAGGGACAGAATCAGCACGGCGCGCCATTACGGGGGTCGGGGCGGAAGAGTGTGTCAGGGAGAGAAGGAGGGAGGGAGGCAGCGAGTATTGAGCGCACAGCAGAAGAGGGGAGGAGGGTTGTCAAGGCAGGCGCTCTTACACACCGCATTCGCCACGTATGGGTGTCTCCGCGGATCAACCCAGTCCCACGCACGTGGGTGCGCGAGGCTGGCGCAAGTAAGCAGAACTGCTGCCGCGCACCTCGTGATGCGATCACGGCACTGCACGATGCGCGCAGGCAGGTACGCGCGAGGCAGGCGACATGGCTGCGGCACCGCCTCCGCACCTGCCCAACGCATCTACAGCGCTGGCAGAAACAGCCCAGCGCTTCCCCGCCGCCCCAACCAGCGCTCACCCTGCCCACCCATGGCGCTGCCTCCTCGCCGCCCCAACCAGCGCTCACCCTGCCCACCCATGGCGCTGCCTCCTCGCCGCGCCACCCAGCGCTAATACGACACTGCTTGACCACCGCCTCCCAACGTACCGACGGACGTTGAGGCGCATGAGGTGCCTCACCGCGCCCCAGGCCCACCCACGGCACTGCCTTCTCGCCGCCTCCCAACTTAGCGACGGACGCGCGCATAGCGATGGTCGTCCTAGATGCTGCCGGCGCTGCGAGGTCCCAGTTACCCACGGCACAGCTTGCCCCGCTACTCCTCGTGGTTATGACATTGCCTACCCGCCCCCCCCAACGTACTGACGGAGGTGCGCATGAGGTAGTCGTCCCAGATGCTGACGATGCGCGCGCTGAACGCGGGGATGTCGTAATAGAACGCCACCATGTCCGGCATGTACTGCGCGCCGCTGCCGCCGTCCAGCGTGCGGCGCGACCCGTTCTTCACCGTCGTGACCTCGCTGATCTGTGCGCAAGCGGCAGTCGCGGAGAGGCGCGGAAGGGAAGGGGAGGAGGGCAGACAAGCGCAGACAGAGACGGACAAGGTCAACGAGGGCGGAAGATGGCGGAAGAGGGGGGATGAGGGGGGAGGATGGCGGAGGAGGGCGGATGAGGGGGGAGGATGACGGAGGAGGGCGGATGAGTGGGGAGGATGGCGGAGGAGGGCGGATGAGGGGGGAGGAGGGCGGAGGAGGGGGGACAAGGTCAAGGAGATGTGAGTCCAGAGGAAGATTTGCGAGAGCCACATGGCGAGGCACAGACCCTCCCATCTCACACTCACAGCAGCGACTAGCCCTTCACCCTCTCCTCACCTGGCAGAGCAGCGAGGGCACGAAGTTGGCGGCGGTGAGCGAGTCGCCGATGACGGCGATGGTCTTGCCCTTGATCATGTTCAGGAACGACCTGCACCGTGACGGACCACATTTGGATTCAAAATAAGATCCGATTCAGATTCGCGGTGAGGGTGCGGATTCGATCAGCATGCGCTGCACGCCAGCACATTGCGATGGGCCGATGAGGGGACGGGAAGCCGCAATGAGGATAGCGCGGCGCAAGCAAGGACTGCGGCACTGGTCTGAAAGCGGCGGTGGTGACAGCAACGAGCGGGGTGCGTGTGGTCTAGGTTGACCGCGAGCTGTGGGGGTGCGATGGCGAGCGGATTCATTGGCGATACAGGGACGCACGAGGGGCCAGCGCGGGGGAAAGACGCACTTGGAGTTGAAGCGGAGCGTGCGGCCGCAGCTTTCGGAGTACCACGAGTAGCGCACGAACCCGCTGTCCGGCCGCCCGTTGCCGCGACACCGGGAAATTTGAAACTGCGCAGAGGGGGGGACGCGCGGATTGGGGGAGGGCGCGCGGAGGGCGAAATGCGGAGTGGAGGGGAGTGGAAGATTGCGGAAAGTGAGGGGAGGGGGGAGGGAGGGCAGAAGTGACAGAGGCAAGGAAAGAGGAAAGGGGACGCACAGGGGCGCGCGCGGCGGGCTTACGAGGAAAGGGCAGCTCTCATCGTAGGGCGGCCGCGACGAGTCCGCCACCCATTTTCCATCAAACAGATCGCATGACAGCGCTAGGCCAATGAGAACGCTCCACGTCAATGCTGTGCACTGTAACGCTAAACTGCCGCCGCGTCTGCTGCAGTGCCACCACATGGCACCTGCGGTTCGACGCTGCCCTTGTAACGACTAAATTGTCCGTGGGTTGGACAAGCGGGTAACCAATCTACATACAAGTGTGGTAGCGTAAAACAGGTTCTAAACCCGTGCTGAGTGCTAGCGTGTGAGTCGTTAGTCGAGGCTTCCTGCAACACCTAGCAATGTAGCGCCACTCGCGGCGAGTTTCTCGTGAAAATGCAAACGCCGCTTGCGACGGGTTGGCGCGTCATGATTGTACGCGGTAGGGCGATGCGAGGCTGGGTGGCAACAAGACGTGATCCGCACGTGGGGAGTTTAGAGGCTGAGCGATGGCAAACTGAGGAGAGCGACGCATGGGCGCGACAATGTCGTGAAGCTTCTTAAATGGGCTGGTTAAAGCGCTAGTATGAGATATTTAGCGCGATGAAAGAGCACTTGATCGGGCTAGGTTTGACGCGAGTAGGTATCACTTGTTGCTAGTGCCTACATGGACGATTGGTTTTTACCGTCTGTACTTTCTGCTCCTACTATGTTCGACGTTTCGCCCATCAGGGAGATAAAAACACAGGTCTTGCACCTCACTTGGCATCGCAAGATCAATAGTGCAGCCAGCGCGAGAGCAACGACGGGACAGATCTGATGTGGCAGTGTCGGCTGTATCTCGCAGTGCGCTTGACTGTGCGTGTGTTTCGAGTCCACCCTAGATAGGCGCGCCATAGTCATATGTAGGCTGGAAGAGGGTTGTTGGGCTCAAATGAAACCTATCCGTGAATCCATCATGGTTGTCGGCCAGGTGAAAAAGCATGGGCGAGGAGAGGAGGGGGAAAGTCCTGCCGACGACGGGGCAGAATGATGATGCAGTCGATTCGCGCTTCGCTCAGAACCAGAATTTCGACATGCGGCTCGCTCTCGCGGGCAATTTTTGCTCCACCGCCTTAGCGGCGCGAGGCTGTTCGGCGAACGTGTGCCCTCAGATAATGATCCGATTGGTGAGTGATTGATCCTGTCGTTCCAGTGAGCGAGTGTAGCGAAATGTTTGGACGATGGCTACTCGGCGAAGAGGGGGCAAATAACATGCATAAGTTGTAATGTTTTACATTATAAACCAGGATAACATGAATACTCATGGATAACATTTTTTTACATCTACCTCATCAGTCACTGCCAAAACCAGGTTAGAAGTTGCATTGGGTCGAAGTGGAAACCCTAATCCAGGATAAACAGAAGCTTGAGCTGGGCCGAAATGGAAATACGTTGCTGACCACTTGTCTAGACTGGAACCCCCTTGTGAACTGCCATTAAACAAGAGTTAATGCCTCCACATAAACTTTTGCAAGAGGGAAGCCAACAAAAGGGCAAAACCACTAGCACTAACCCTAACCTACCGTAATTACTTTCTTCCCCCCCTATGCCAAGGCCTTCTGGACCTTCCACCCCCACCACCTCTACCGCCTTGACCACCCCCTCCGTGGATGCCCTGCACGGCCCGGCCAATGAGCTTCCCACCACCGCCGCCACCTGCACCGCCGTCCTGCCGCACCTTCTTCGGCTGCGGCGCTGCTGCCGCCCCGCCCCTGCCATTTGCTGGCCCTGCCCCTCGCTTCGCCCTGCATGCAGCAGTGTGGGGGGGGGGGGGGAGTAGAGAGGACGTGGGGGTGGGAAGGGGAAGGGATGAAATAGGGGGAAGGCGGGGTGTTGAAGTGAGATGGGCCTGCCAGGAGCAGCGGAGGCATAGCGAGCACACGAGGCGAGCCGAGCACTTTGCGTGCTCTCGACCACGCAAAACAAATGCAGGGCTGTTGGAGCAGGAGAGCAGTGAGACTTACCCGACTGCTTGTGCTGGGCCAGGCTTGGCAGCGCAGGGCCCTGCAGGGGCAGCAGCCTCGGGCTTCCAGGAGAGCGCCGGTGCCGCCTTGCCACCCAGGAACTGCGGCACGGAGGACTTGAGTGGCTGGGCGGTGGAGCAGCATAGGGCGCGGACGAGGCAAGGGGCAAGAGGCACACAGGAGTGGAGGGGGACAGAGTCAGTGGTGCTTCTGTGCAGGGCGGGTGGGAGTGCGCGTGGCAGCTTGCCGTCCAGAAAGGGACGTGTGGTGACGTAGGAGTGTGGTGGGGAGCATGTTGGGTGAGGTGGGATGCAGGGAGAGTGAGATACTCGTGCACCAGGATGGACAGAACACTCCAGGCACAGCCATGATTGGCCACCGTGAGTGCATGAGATGATTCAAAGAGAATGTTGGCTGCACCACGACTGCTGCTATGACAGGACCCTTGCTGTGACCCCAACACACCTTGCTAAGCTTCTCGATGTTTTGCAGTGCCTTGAGCGTGCGCGCCGCTGCTGCCTTCTCTCCTTCTGCCATCATTAACCCAGACAGGAGTGAGCGTGGGCAACCAGGTGGTGTGCGCGATTGAGCATTTGAAATATGTGCATGTGCTCATGTACGAAACTGTGCATGTGTGAAGCATGCTATGACACAGAAAGTGTAAAACACTCTGTGACTCGGGCAGAATACGGAGCAAGCATGGCAGGCAGGCAGGCAGGCAGGCAGGCAGGAGGCAGGCAGGCAGGCAGGCAGGCAGGCAGGCAGGCAGGCAGGCAGGCAGGCAGGCAGAGGCAGGCAGGCAGGCATGCAGGCAGGCAGGCAGGCAGGCAGGCAGGCAGGCAGGCAGGCAGGCAGGCAGGCAGGCAGGCAGGTCAGGCAGGCAGGCAGGCAGGCAGGCAGGCAGGCAGGCAGGCAGGCAGGCAGGCAGGCAGGCAGGCGCAGGCAGGCAGGCAGGCAGGCAGGAGGCAGGCAGGCAGGCAGGCAGGCAGGCAGGCAGGCAGGCAGGCAGGCAGCAGGCAGGCAGGCAGGCAGGCAGGCAGGCAGGCAGGCAGGCAGGCAGGCAGGCAGGCAGGCAGGCAGGCAGGCAGGCAGGCAGGCAGGCAGGCAGGCAGGCAGGCAGGCAGGCAGGCAGGCAGGCAGGCAGGCAGGCAGGCAGGCAGGCAGGCAGGCAGGCAGGCAGGCAGGCAGGCAGGCAGGCAGGCAGGCAGGCAGGCAGGCAGGCAGGCAGGCAGGCAGGCAGGCAGGCAGGCAGGCAGGCAGGCAGGCAGGCAGGCAGGCAGGCAGGCAGGCAGGCAGGCAGGCAGGCAGGCAGGCAGGCAGGCAGGCAGGCAGGCAGGCAGGCAGGCAGGCAGGCAGGCAGGCAGGCAGGCAGGCAGGCAGGCAGGCAGGCAGGCAGGCAGGCAGGCAGGCAGGCAGGCAGGCAGGCAGGCAGGCAGGCAGGCAGGCAGGCAGGCAGGCAGGCAGGCAGGCAGGCAGGCAGGCAGGCAGGCAGGCAGGCAGGCAGGCAGGCAGGCAGGCAGGCAGGCAGGCAGGCAGGCAGGCAGGCAGGCAGGCAGGCAGGCAGGCAGGCAGGCAGGCAGGCAGGCAGGCAGGCAGGCAGGCAGGCAGCCAGGCAGGCAGGCAGGCAGGCAGGCAGGCAGGCAGGCAGGCAGGCAGGCAGGCAGGCAGGCAGGCAGGCAGGCAGGCAGGCAGGCAGGCAGCAGGCAGGCAGGCAGGCAGCAGGCAGGCAGGCAGGCAGGCAGGCAGGCAGGCAGGCAGGCAGGCAGGCAGGCAGGCAGGCGGCAGGCAGGCAGGCAGGCAGGCAGGCAGGCAGGCAGGCAGGCAGGCAGGCAGGCAGGCAGGCAGGCAGGCAGGCAGGCAGGCAGGCAGGCAGGCAGGCAGGCAGGCAGGCAGGCAGGCAGGCAGGCAGGCAGGCAGGCAGGCAGGCGCAGGCAGGCAGGCAGCAGGCAGGCAGGCAGGCAGGCAGGCAGGCAGGCAGGCAGGCAGGCAGGCAGGCAGGCAGGCAGGCAGGCAGGCAGGCAGGCAGGCAGGCAGGCAGGGGCAGGCAGGGCAGGCAGGCAGGCAGGCAGGCAGGCAGGCAGGCAGGCAGGCAGGCAGGCAGGCAGGCAGGCAGGCAGGCAGGCAGGGCAGGCAGGCAGGCAGGCAGGCAGGCCGGCAGGCAGGCAGGCAGGCAGGCAGGCAGGCAGGCAGGCAGGCAGGCAGGCAGGCAGGCAGGCAGGCAGGCAGGCAGGCAGGCAGGCAGGCAGGCAGGCAGGCAGGCAGGCAGGCAGGCAGGCAGGCAGGCAGGCAGGCAGGCAGGCAGGCAGGCAGGCAGGCAGAGGCAGGCAGGCAGGCAGGCAGGCAGGCAGGCAGGCAGGAAGAGAGGGAGGAGGCAGGGGGGGGAGGGGAGCTTACAAGGTCGGTGATGGTGGGCTCGTCCTTGGCGGAGCGCTGCTGCTTGCTCACCTCCGCCACCTCCTGCAGCACTGCTTTTATGCGCTTCTTCACGTCCTCCTCCATGCCCGTCACCCTGGGAGCACGGGGAAAACGGCAATCAGCGCACACAGAGCACAGAGCAGGCATCAGCGAGCAAGCAGCAGGCCGTGAGAAACAGATGGTGGGGAATGAGCCTATGAGCGGTGAAGGAAACGGAAAAGATGGTGGGGAATGAGCCTTCAGCTGGCAAGCAAGGCCTTACCCGGACAGGTATTACCTGGACAAGTGTTATTTGGACAGGCGTTACATCAACAGGCGTTACCTGAATGGGCCTTATTTGGCCATGCACTACCTGAACTCGCGTCACCTGGGCGAATGTCACCTGGGAAAGCATCACCTGGGCGAATGCCATTTGGGAAAGCATTACCTGGGCAGGCGTCACCAGGGCAGGTGTTACCTGGCGAGCCAGTCGGCGTGCAGGTCTTTGAAGTCCTCCCCCAGGCGGTCGGACGGCTGCCCCGTCACGATCTTGTACCCGCACAGCGCATTCGTGGCGTTGGGCGTCTGTGGGCAGGGAGGGTGGTGTGGCAGGGCGGCAGGGAGGGAAGGCAGGAAGGCGGGGAGGCAGGGAGGGAAGGCAGGGAGGCGGGAGGGCGGGAAAGGAAGGTAGGGAGGCAGGGAGGGGAGGAGGAGGTAGGGGGGCAGGAAGGCAGGGAGGGCATTGACAAGATGGGATTGTGTGTCAACCAATGTGGCAGACACATGCGCATCCATGCATGCTGTCAGCGAGTGCATGCAGACACATGCGCATCCATGCGTGCTGTCAGCGAGTGCATGCAGACAAAGCCAAGGGATGGCATCGTAGATGCATACCATTCCCAACCCATGCATTTCACTCACAGGCTGCTCATGTGCAAGGCATCAATGCCGCTCAGGCAAGGTAGTGGCGCTTTCTAACAAGCACAAGGTGGTTGAGAGTGAGAGCAGCACCTTGTGCGCGAGCTGGTTGAACGTGAAGAGCAGCGCCTCCAGCGCCGTCACGTCCACATCTGCGCCCTTCTTTGCCATGTAGTCCTGCCACGCCGGGGACAGGTGGTGCATTGCATTGTGGGGGAAAGAGAAAGAAAGTGACTCCCCCGAGAGCTGCTTGGGTGGAAGTGGGCGTTGCAAGGAGCAGCAGCGCCCCGGACTGAAGGCGCGCGCTCACCTTGAGCAACTCAGTGACCTCTGGCAGCAGTACCCTGAGCCCTGACCCCTGCAGCTGAGACAGCACGCACTTGTGTTGAGCAACGGATTGGATTCCCACCTTGAGCAGGTCGGTGACCCCTGGCAGCAGGTGTCTGGAGTCGGCTGGCGATGTGAATGGCGACGCCTCCGCCATGCTCCTCAGCAGCTCGCCCCTCCTGTCCTCCGCCACCTGCCGCGCACCACATGGGGGCATTATGGCGTGATGGTATGATGTGTAGGATGGGCATGGTGGCATGATGGCATGGTGGCATGATGGGCATGGTGGCATGAGGGCATGGTGGCATGATGGGCATGGTGGCATGATGGGCATGGTGGCATGATGAGCATGGTGGCATGATGGGATGGTGGCATGATGGGCATGGTGGCATGATGGGCATGGTGGCATGATGGACATGGTGGCATGATGGGCATGGTGGCATGATGGGCATGGTGGCATGATGGGCATGGTGGCATGATGGCATGGTGGCATGATGGGCATGGTGGCATGATGGGCATGGTGGCATGATGGCATGGTGGCATGATGGGCATGGTGGCATGATGGGCATGGTGGCATGATGGGCATGGTGGCATGATGGGCATGGTGGCATGATAGGCATGGTGGCATGATGGGCATGGTGGCATGATGGGCATGGTGGCATGAGGGCATGGTGGCATGATGGGCATGGTGGCATGATGGGCATGGTGGCATGATGGGCATGGTGGCATGATGGGCATGGTGGCATGATGGGCATGGTGGTATGATGGGAGAGAGCTGTGTGCAGGGGGACAGTGAGGGCGCAGGGCACAGTGCAACTCGTGCCGCAGTGATGCACAGCCATGCCTTTGAGCAACAATGGTTTCGGCCTACGCCATGTGGGTGCCATGTCCAAGGCGGGAGGGGCAGGCAGAGCAGTACCTTATCGAAGGCGGGGAGGATGTGCTTGGCGATGAAGTTGAAGAACTTGCTGTTGGACCCGCCCCTCTGCATCCAGAGGGGTGCCCGGGTGTGCAAATGGATGTGGTAGCAGATTGAACGGCATTGTCAGTGGTTAAAAAAAAAGTGGATACTGGAGGAGAGGCGGAAAAGAAGTTGAATGTCGAGTAAAGGAGAGAAATACAGGTGATGCGAGAGGAGGATGAGGATGGCTGGCTTGGATTGGAACGTGGACGAACGGGGTGAGGAATAAGGAGTGAGGAATGCAGCGGGATGAAATCCATGACGGTTACAGGATCAGCGAGGGTAGATTCTTTGGATGCGGTGGAAAGGTGGATGGCAATGTGACGCTCACATGGCGGGGGATATGCATGGCGCACACAGGAGCAGGGGCAGCATGGGGTGCACGGGCAATGGGAGGGAGGGGAGAGTGGCAGGTAGGTAGCAGGGAACTCACAGCGAAGAAGGGCAGCGCCATCTGCAGGCACGCCATGACCCGCTCTATGTGATCCGTGTCTGATGCCTGCACACGGGGTGTGGTGCGGTGGGATGGGATGGGATGGGATGGGATGGGATGGGATGGGATGGGATGGGATGGGATGGGATGGGATGGGATGGGATGGGATGAGATGGGATGGGATGGGATGGCATGGGATGGGATCGGATGGGATGGAATGGGATGGATGGGGCGCAGTGCCATGCCCACTGCACTAGACCAAGCTGCCACAAGAAGACTTGGCGGACTAATGCTGACGAGGCAGGCTGTACAAACACAATCTCAGCGCTTCTGGGGAAGGCAGAACGAGCAGGTCCGCAGGACGAGGGAGGAATCACCACCACAAGGCGAGCGACGGCCAGAGAAGGCGAGAGAGAGGGAGGGCCGGAGAAGGCGAGCGAGAGGGAGGGCGAGAGAAGGAAGGCGAGCACGGGAGGGCGAGAGAGGGGTGCAGGGGGTGTGAGTGTGAGTGTGGTGACTGACATCAAAGGACGCGAGGAGGTCGGCCTGCCCCTCCACGATCTCCACCAGCTCCTGCATGCGCTCTGGCGGTGCCTTGGCGCCAAACAGCGCCAGCCCCTGCAGGAACGCCATGAACATCGCGAACTCCTCCCCCGTCACGTCTTGTATGCCCTGCCACGCCACACCCGGGGGATACAGTGGGGTACGATGGGATGCGGTCGGATATGGTGGGATGAGATGGGATACGTCAAGCAGTCAGCATGCAGCAGTGGAAAGTGGCAGAAAGTGCCCCACATGATTGTGGGTCGGCACCAAGGCCTTGCCTTGGATGACGGGAGAGGAGATTATTGCCCACATTTACTAAAATAAGTGTCCTTCATACCTTGGTTATTCACGCGTCTCTCTCACCTTGATCACCTCTCTCTCTCACCTTGATCATCTCTCTCTCTCTCTCACCTTGATCATCTCTCTCTCTCACCTTGATCATCTCTCTCCCTCACCTTGATCACCTCTCTCTCTCACCTTAATCACCTCTCTCTCTCACCTTGATCAACTCACTCTCTCACCTTGATCACCTCTCTCTCTCTCTCTCACCTTGATCATCTCTCTCTCTCACCTTGATCATCTCTCTCTCTCACCTTGATCATCTCTCTCTCTCTCACCTTGATCACCTCTCTCTCTCACCTTGATCAGCTTTCTCTCTTACCTTGATCAGCTCTCTCTCTCACCTTGATCACCTCTCTCTCTCTCTCACCTTGATCATCTCTCTCTCTCACCTTGATCATCTCTCTCCCTCACCTTGATCACCTCTCTCTCTCACCTTAATCACCTCTCTCTCTCACCTTGATCAACTCACTCTCTCACCTTGATCACCTCTCTCTCTCTCTCTCACCTTGATCATCTCTCTCTCTCACCTTGATCATCTCTCTCTCTCACCTTGATCATCTCTCTCTCTCTCACCTTGATCACCTCTCTCTCTCACCTTGATCAGCTTTCTCTCTTACCTTGATCAGCTCTCTCTCTCACCTTGATCACCTCTCTCTCTCTCTCTCTCTCTCTCTCTCTCTCTCTCTCTCTCTCTCTCTCTCTCTCTCTCTCTCTCACCTTGATCATCTCTCTCTCTCACCTTGATCATCTCTCTCCCTCACCTTGATCACCTCTCTCTCTCACCTTAATCACCTCTCTCTCTCACCTTGATCAACTCACTCTCTCACCTTGATCACCTCTCTCTCTCTCTCACCTTGATCATCTCTCTCTCTCTCACCTTGATCATCTCTCTCTCTCACCTTGATCATCTCTCTCTCTCTCACCTTGATCACCTCTCTCTCTCTCTCACCTTGATCACCTCTCTCTCTTACCTTGATCACCTCTCTCTCTCTCACCTTAATCACCTCTCTATCTCACCTTGATCACCTCTCTCTCTCACCTTGATCAGGTCAGTCACGTGTCGCTCCATCTCCGCCTGAGGCACCAGGACGCTCGCCTTGTTCGGAAACACCTGCCACGCCATGGTGCCATGTGGGGGGCGGGACAGGTTAGACTCGTCACCATGATGTCGCACCACGAGAAAGAATATCAGGTCATGGTTTTCAAGTGGCACGAGCGCAAGGACATCTGTTGAGAAGCGTTAGAAGCAGCGGCACACCTTGGCTCGGATGAAGGACAGCACGTTCTCCCTCAGCTTGTCCTCGGAGCTCTCTATGTGCTTGAATATGGCCGCCAGACTCCCTGCCACGCCATAAAAAAACATTGGTCAGGGACTCAGCGAATGGCACGAGCAGTTACGAATGACACGGCTGAGATGGCGTTCCCGAGATGGGGCCCCATTCGGCCCCATCCGACGTGGCCCCAAGCAACAGTTTACGAAACACGTGCCCGTGGCATGGCAGCAAGGTGGGGGGTGAATGTGGACGTCGCATGAGTGGGCAGCCGAGGGTCGTGCGAAATTGCCTCACGTTAACTTTCCTTGCCTCCGAACGTCAGAACGAGTCAAGCTAGACTGCCGCGTAACCAAAAAAAATGAAAATCATCTATCGGTTCCCACCCAGTGTGTTCTCGACCATGGGAGTATGTGGCTGTCTGAACGACAGCCGTTTTTTACTGTCACGGAACCCAGTCGTGACTGGATTGGAATCGGAGCACACTTGCGAGACTAGGTTGGAACGTTTAAACTTGTCGCATGAACGTTAATACAAAAGCATGTGATTCGTTGATCCAAATCTTTCATGGTTTTCGCCCCAGGCGACTCCCGTCGCCAGGCACGTGTGGCGGTGTGACCAGAATCAAATTCTGCCACGGTGGACCAACCAATGTTGTTGCACCAACCATGGCAATTGATGGGGCCCCATCTCAGGAACGCCATCTGAGATGAGTGCAACTATGGCATGGAAATCACGAGTTATGGCAAGAAAGCGGATTCACCTTTGGGGTCCTGCCGGAGCACCTGCATCAACGAGTTCTGCACCACTCCATGCTCCGGCTCCTCTGCCACACAACACACACACATACCCACGCACATTCACACACGTTAGGAACTCGTTCATAAGAAAAAATATCCTTCTAAGTTGCTGCCTGATGCGTCTACACATGGACGTGCAATTAACTATCGCCCTATCTCCAATGCACATTCGCCGTACCTCCAATGAGAAGTTGGCCGAGCACGTCAGCAATTTTCGGGAGATGCTCCGGTGTGTCCTTGCAGAGAAACGGGAGCCCTCGAATCGCAGGTAGTCGAATCTGACCAGAGCAACGGGAATCGGCATCCGGGGATAGTTACAACTCATTCCACTGCCGTACGCAGCGTCGCCTCCAGCTATTATTGAGCGACCAGGGTAGTATGCTATCAGCGTCGGCAAAGCACGTCGCAAAAACACGCTATCCCGCGCATTTACGCTTTATTCAATTCATTGCTGTCGGCATCTACACATTGCTGTCATCATCCTTACATTGATGTCGTCATCCTCGCAGAGATCTAGCTGCGCGTTAATGCCTTCGGCGGACAGCTGCGGAAAGAATTTGAAGAAGCGAGGAATCTGCTGCGCTGCGAACAGCTTCGCCTTGCTGCTCCCCGTCGCTGCCGCGATGACCCCGAGGTAGTCCTTTTCGTTCTGCAAGCCACAACCATGGCGGGCGTCAGAATAGGTCGTCCTGACAGAGGAACGCTGTTTCCTTTTTCGAAATGCTAACCTGCGACTTGTCCTTCGAGCTCGCTAGTTTCTCCCCGTGTTCGTAAAGCTTCTCGATATCATCGCTCGCTGTGGCCATATCTAGACGGAGAGTCGAATACTGCTGCCCTGATCTGCACAAATAATGCGTGACGAGGAGTGCTGATCAGCCTGTGCGCTTGTGGAAATGGCCGACCAGGAAAACGAGTGAAAATACGAGACTCCCAAGCCGTCACTGCAATTTAGGTCACATTCTGAAATCGGCAAAAAACCCTAGCGATCGAAATTAGCAACCATACCCAGCAGAAGTGTACGGTAACTGGTAACCATCACGAATTTCTTCGCACATCTTTTACCAACGTACTCGGCATCTGGCATTTTTATTGACGGCGAGAAGCAGCTTCCGGCCTGCGGGCGGGGTTGTTCAACGGCTCCGCGTCAATTCATACGTATGTGTCAGTGGCGGGCTGACCATGTGGCGGTGGGCGGGAAGAGCGCCCTTGGGATTGGTTGGTTGCCTGGCTGGTTGGGGAAAAACCAAGGGAGGTGCCGTGTGCCCCGAGTGTTCCTCCGCTCCCCCCGCCCAACGTCCAACCCGCGGCGAATTGCTTGCCCGACTCCCCCCTCCTCCAAACAAACGCCCAAGCCCACCTTGAACTTGTCGCGCGCGCGGAACTTCTCTCCGCTCGACTTTGCCCCCGCTTATTTGAACTGCTGGCCGTCTGCTTAGCCAAAAGTACTACACTACTCCACCGCACCAACGAGCAGCCCACACATCACATCAACTCAAGCTGCGAGCCAGAGTGGTCAACAACACATCACAGAGCACAGCAGCATTCCCGTCCCGATACTGCCGAACACATTTCGCGCGCGCTGGGCATCAATTTTGGACATTGCCGACTTACTCCTCTCGTCTCATCATCCGCAGATCGCGCTCGTCAAAGTTTTCTGTATGCAGTATACTCACGCACTTGCCATTCGGTCGCTAACTCGATGACAATGCTATGCGAAGTGAGTGCGCCGTGCCCGTTCGTGCTATAACGAGGATAATCGACGCATCGTTGTAGGCCATGGGTCTGTGGGACCCCATATTATCACGGCCGTCGCCCGATATAACCGCGTCTTACGAGTTCTTAGAGGAGATCGGCCATGGAGGCTCGTCCGTGGTGCGCGTGTGCCGGCATCGCGCCACGGGCGAGAGGTTCGCGTGCAAGAGCATTCTCAAGGACAACCTTCGCTGCGCCGCTGACGTGGCAGACGTTCGAAGAGAAATCGAGGTGCGGAAACCCAAAATTCCCTGCATTTTCTCCCGCGGCCCGTCATGCTGGTCTTGTCAAGCAACGGCTTTCTCCTGACAGTAGCGGCGTATGCAGCACAATCAAGCAGGTCATCATCCGGACTGGCAAAGCACCTGCTTGTCGATCACCCCTGACGCTCACGTCGACATGAACGCCCGTCCCTCCTGGCCATATTGTTACCATTGTACCTCCTCCATTCCCCCCCTCTCCCTCCCCATTTTCCCCCACCCACCCAAACTCCACCTCCCCACCCTCTTCCCCCCTTTGCCGGGCAGGTGTTGGAGCAGCTGGGGCACCACGCGCATATCGTGCAGCTGCACGCCACCTTCGAGGACATCTCAGCCGTCCATCTCGTCATGCAGCTCTGCCACGGCGGTGAGCTCTTCCACGAGATCGTGCGCCGCGAGCGCTTCTCCGAGGCGGACGCCGCCGTCGTCTTCCGCCAGCTGGCGGAGGCGGTGGCGTTCTGCCACGCGCGCGGCGTGCTGCACCGCGACCTCAAGCCCGAGAACATCCTGCTGCTGCACCCCGTGGCGGAAGGGGAGGGGGGAGGCGGGGCGGAGGCGGGAGATGGGGGTGCGGGGGAGCGGGGCAATGCGGCGGTGGCGGCGGTGGAGGATTGGAAGCCGCGGGAGCAGGCAGACGAGGAGGGGAACGACGGCGGGCTGTCGCCTCTAGAGCAGAACTGGCCGGGGTCGTCCGTCACCCCTCCTAACCACTCCCCACACCTCTCTCAATCCAGCACGCCTCCTCCCGGCAATCTGCTCCGCCACTCCTCGCTCCCCTCCCCTTCCTCCTCCGCCTTCCCCACTTCCCCCCTCCACTATCTTCCCACCATTGCAGATCCCGCCACAACCCCTCCAACGTCCCCTCCCCATTCCGCCTCCGCCTCCGCCTGTCCGCCCTCCCCCTCGCCTCCGCCCCCCCCGCTGCACGTGAAGCTGGCGGATTTCGGGTTGGCGCTGCACCTGGGGCCGGGGGAGCGCGCGCAGGGCTTCGCGGGGAGCCCCTTCTACGTCGCGCCAGAGGTGCTGGCACGGCGGTCCTACGACACGTCAGCAGACATGTGGAGTCTGGGCGTGGTACTGTACTCGTTATTAGCAGGCGACCTGCCGTTCGTGGGGGACACAGAGAAGAAGGTGTTCCGCGCCATCACCAAGGGGCGCCTCAACCTGCAGGCGCCCCCCTGGCCGTCCGTCTCCGCGCCCGCCAAGGCGCTCATCCGCCGCCTGCTCGACCCCACCCCCGCCTCGCGCCTCTCCGCACCCCTCCTGCTGCAGCACCCCTGGCTCGCGCACACGCCCCTGCCCACTGCGCCCGCGCTGCCTGTGCCGCAGCCTGTGGGCGCGCGCGAGGGGGAAGCGGCGCCCATGGGCGCGAGCCCAGGGAGACCAGGGGCGGACTGGAGTGACGAGCGCGCTAGCAGGGCAGGCGGGGCAGCGCGGCCAGCGAGTGCGGGAGGGCGCGTGGCAGCGCTGCAGGTCCCGGACCCACACCGCCCCGCGCCTCATGCCGCGCCCCAGTCGCCGCGCACGCCCTCCCCCCGCCGCGCCCCCCCACCCGTGTCCGCTGCTCGTTCCGCCGCGTCTGCTGCTGCCTCCGCGCTGAGGAAGGCCGCCAGGCACGCCGTGTCAGGTGGCGCTGCGGGCGCGGAGGGGGAGAGCGAGGGGCCAGGGGATGGCGCAGGGGAGGCCAGCGGTCTGCACAGTGGGACGGGTGGGGGGACGAGTGGGGCCGCAGGGGCGGGAAGGACAGGCGGCAGTGCGGGGAGGACAGGCGGCAGTGCGGGCAACACGCCAAACAGTGCGGTGCGGAGCCTGGCAGCGGCGTTTGGGAGGAGCCCGGGGGCCAAGACAGAGAGCGCCAAGGCAGAGGGGGGGAAGAGCGGGGCAGGGCAGTCGGGGGGGGTGGGCAGCGGCACCAAGCGCATTGTGAAGGCGCTGTTCCGCTCGCTCTCCTCCCTCGCCTCCGACTACCGCCGCGGCCGCCTCTCCTCGCTGGGGCTGGGCGGGGGCACTGCAGGCGCGGAGGGGGAGGGCGGGGGGAAGAAGGCGGGCGCTTGGGGTGACTGGGGCAGCGCGAGTGGCAGTGGCGGGGCGAGTGGGGCGAAAGGGGGGAGTAAGGGGTCCGGGGTGAGCAGAGCGAAGGAGTGGAGCAGCGGTGCAGATGCACGCGTGCCAGGGCGAGCCAGCTTTAGCAGCAGCAGCAGCAGCGCATGGGATGGCAACAGCAGGGGGAACGGCAGCAGCGTGGAGAAAGGCAGTGGCAGCAATCATAAGCACGTTCCCCATCCGCAGCGCGAGGGTGTGAGTGCTGGCTCAAGCGACGCGAGTGGCGGTACAAGCAGCAGCACATTTGGTGGCAGTGCTAGCGATGGCAACACCAGTGGTGGCAGCACGAGTGTGAAGGCTGTTGGTGAAGTGCAGAGCACAGCGGGCAGCAGAGGCAGTGGCAGCGCTAACACAGCTGCCCTGCGATCGCCTGTCCTTTGTGCCTCTGTGGAATCTCCCCCCCTTGCTCCCATGCATGCCGCCCCACATGCCACAGCACATGCTGCAGCACCTGCCATGTGCCATGTTGCCCATGTCCCCACGGATCCTGTCGCCACCATTCATCCTCGCAACGATTGCCCTCATGCTGTTGCTGGCACTGCTGCCGATGCCAATCCCAGTGCTGGTGCTGCTGCTGCTGCTGCTACGGACAATGTTGCTGCTGTGGCAAGTCAAGGAGCAGTAGATGGTGCCGCAGAAACAGCAGCAGCAGCAGACGAGTCACAGATAGAGTGTGGCGGAGTGGAAGCAGCAGCAGTGCAGGTTGCAGCAGGGGTGGGAGAGAGCGCCTTGCAGGAGGGAGCAACGGCGTGCGAGGTGGTGCCAAGCGGCAGAGAGGATGGGAGCAGTGTGGCACTGGCAGGAGGGACGAGTGAAGCACAGGGGGATGCGAAAGGCGGCAGTGGCAGCAGTGACAGGATTGGCAGCATTGCAGGCACAGGATCTTGCAGTACAAAGGCAGCTCATAGCACAATGCCTAAACCCAAAGCCGCATCCACACCCACACCCGTGCCCACGCCGAGTCCCAGTTCCGAACCCACACCCACGCCATGTGCTGCTTCTGTGGCTGGTGTTGTTCAGCAGACTGCTGGCGAGCAGTCGGCTGAGCAGAGCAAGGAGGGCGGAGAGCGAGTGAAGGATGGCAGTGTGAGCAGCGAGGTGCAGACAGAGAGAGAGGGTACGGTAGGCGGTGCAGGCAGCGCAGCAGAGAGCGGAGGGGAGTCCGCCCCCATAGGAGTGGAGGCGTGCTTAGGGGACAGCACATCGGTCCCTCCAGACCCGTTGAGAGTGAGTGTACCAGTGCCAGATGGCACTGCTGATGCAAGCACTGCTGTAGCAGGCAGTGCTGTAGCAGGCAGTGCTGTAGCAGGCAGTGCTGTAGCAGGCAGTGCTGTAGCAGGCAGTGCTGTAGCAGGCAGTGCTGTAGCAGGCAGTGCTGTAGCAGGCAGTGCTGTAGCAGGCAGTGCTGTAGCTGGCAGCAGTGCAGCTGTGAAGCCGGTAACAGCAGCAGTGGCTGTGATTCCCCCAGGGGTGTCGTGTCTGGGGGATGCAGAGCCGAGCCTCAAGCTGCTGCTGCAGCCACTGCGCCTGTCCCCTCGCCGCTCCATGCGCCGCTCCCTCAGCAGCAGCAGCAGTAGCAGCAGCCGGAATGGCGAGGTGGGCAAGGAGAGGAGGGGCGCGCTGATGGATGGGCAGGGGCAGGAGAATGTTGGAGGCGGGGGCGGGTCAGAGCAGGTGGTGCAGGCGTGTGCACCAGCACCGTTCAAGTGGCGGCCACTCAAGGGCAGTCTGAGCGGCAGGCTGGGGTCTGGCAGGGCTGCTGCGAACGTGGCTCCACAGCTCCACAACTGACGGGGGGTAGGCTGCTGTTGAATGCTCCCGCGCTGGCAGGCTGTATGCCGGTGCAGCGAGCAGATGCGGAGGGGGGTTTGGGCGGTTGGGGAGACAGCAGGGCATCGAACAAGCGTGCAGCGATGTAGTTATTGAGGCCCCGGGTCCATGATGTCTATTCATGGAGGTATGGTTTTCTGGAGGGCAGGCATGCCATTACTGGCCGGCCGCATATGTGTGCTATGCAGCACATGAGCGTGTGCATGCGTGCAGGCAGGCAGCAGTTTAGCAGGAAAGAAGGCATGCTTGCCCAAGATCAACGGGTAACCCTTTTAGGAGGTTGCTTGCTACATTTGTAACGGATGTTACCCTGCAATTGTTAGTCAAATCACTTGACTAGGTACTAATTTATTAGCGTCACTGCATGCATCGTGATCGTTTTGGCATCTGAATATTATGAAATGGATAAGAGAAGGTCACACATTTTGATGGATTAGTTGTTCATTCATTACTGTAGACAGCCAGACTTACACTGACGCTCACTAATGTATAGAAGTATTTATACTAAACATATATCCGTTGCCTCCTGAAAATACATGAAACGAAGCACGTCGAAATTCGTTAGGGCGTACGCCTCTGCAAACTCCTAACCCCAAACTCTGCTCAACCCTAAATCAGCCTTGTCACTTCGCATTCACACTTCTATTCCCCACCCAGTCGGCATGACCTGCCGTATGGAACCCTCGCCGTCCCCTCTGCCGGCAGCAGACCCGCTAGCCGTTGTGGCAGGCGGCATTGACGCGGGCGGCGAGTCGGCCGCGCCGCTGTCAGCGGCGTCGCAGCAGCTGCTGCTCGACACGCTCTCGCGCCTCCACGCGGACGACTCCGCGCAGCCTTCCGCTGCCGCCGCCGAGGGAGATGACGTGGAGGACGATGATTGGGCGGAAGAGGATGGCGAAGTGGAAGAAGAGGTGCTGGATGCGCTCGATTGGCTGGACCTGAGAGAAGGTAGCTGATTGGTTAAATTAACGAAAGATGTAGCTTATTGGCTGGGTCTGCGAGAAAGCAGCATCGAACGTCGTTTGGCGCTGAAAGCGTGCACGCGGGCGGTGCTGTTCGCCGCCATCCCGTTGCGCGGACCGCTGAATTCGCGCACAAGTCACCTCGATATCATCATGTGAACCCCCCTACCCCGCTCTTCCCAACCCTCCCCATCCTTCCACCCGCCCACTCTTCCCCACTCCTCCTTCCTCGTCCGCGTCCTCACAGATCTCGCGTCGCGAGGCAACACTGGTGGCGGTGCGTTCGGCGGCGGATTTTCTGCGGCGCGGCGGCCGAACGCCTTCGGGGGGCAACTAAACCAGGCACACGCAAACGCGCGCGCGGCGGCGTTTGGGGCCGCGGGGAAGGGCAGCGGAGGGGGAGCAGGAGTGGGGGCCGCGGCGGGGGCGATGCAGCCGCGGGTGAACAAGCAGCAGCGGCTGACTGCGCGAGTCAACGCCGCGCCCATGCGGGTGAGGGGCTTGTGACTTGTGCTTCAGGGGTTGGGGTTTTGCATCGAGGTTCAGGGTTGAAGTGTGAGGGTGTAGGTTGATGCTTTCAATGGGTTGAGCGTTTAGATGGGAGATTCGGTCGTGGATGCTCATGCTGCTGCAGTGATCGGCTTCACACTCTACAATTCACCTCCTTGTTTGTAATGCTTGCTGACGTGGCAGGATTGGGGTGACAGCTGTCAGCCGAACATGGCAAATGTGGTGATGACAGCTGTGCGCGACACTAACAAGCGGCAGGAGCAGGGCCAGTCGCGGTTGAAGGAGAAGGCTGACCGTGCCACCGTGGAGCAGGTGACTCTAAAGGGGGATCGGGGACATGGGAAACAACATATACCTCTTATGTTTCCCTTTCACTCTCTTCCTGGCTCTCTTACAGCCCCTTCCACCCCTCCAAGCATCCCCCAGTATCCTGCTTCCCTCCCACCACCTGTTCTCACCGCATCGCCCTTGACCATGCTGCCCACTCCCTGCCCTGCTCCTCGCATCTCACTCCTCACCTCCTCTCGTACCATAAGATTGGCCAAACCCCTTCTTCCTTTCATGATTCATCCCCAACAAACAACCCATTTTTCCTCTCCCCTTCCCCGCCCCTCTCCCCCCACATGACCTTCCCCTCCCCCCACATGACCTTCCCCTCCCCCCACATGACCTTCCCCTCCCCCCACATGACCTTCCCCTCCCCCCACATGACCTTCCCCTCCCCCTTCTCCTGACCCCGTGCAGGTGCTGGATCCGCGCACGCGCATGGTGCTGTTCAAGATGCTCAACCGCGGCGTCTTCTCCCACATCAACGGCTGCCTCTCCACCGGCAAAGAGGTCAACCGCATTCACCATCACCATCACTCCCTATCCACCCTTGTTCTCAATGCCCACCCCTTCACCCACCTGGTCTGCCCCTCTATCCCCCTACCCTCGGGCACGCCTCACCCCACCCCATGCGCCAACTTTGCTCCCCCATGAACCACCGCGCCCTCCTGTCCAGCGAATGTATACCACGCCACTGCTATCATGCCACGCCACTGCTATCATGCCACGCCACTGCTATCATGCCACGCCACTGCTATCATGCCACGCCACTGCTATCATGCCACGCCACTGCTATCATGCCACGCCACTGCTATCATGCCACGCCACTGCTATCATGTCACGCCACTGCTATCATGTCACGCCACTGCTATCATGTCATGCCACTGCTATCATGCCACGCCACTGGTATCATGCCACGCCACTGCTATCATGCCACGCCACTGCTATCATGCCACGCCACTGGTATCATGCCACGCCACTGTTATCATGCCACGCCACTGCTATCATGCCACGCCTCATGCTTCCCCCATGGCTCCTCTCGCCCGTGGCTGCTCTCCCACCCCCCAGGCGAACGTGTACCATGCCACGGTGGACCGCCCCTCTGCACTGCACATGCCCGCTGCACTGGGGATTGGGGGGAATAGGGAGGGGGCGGGCGTGCAGCAGGGGGGCGAGGGGCAGCTGGTGAAGGAGCTGGCAGTGAAGGAGCTGGCAGTGAAGGTGTACAAGACGTCCATCCTGGTCTTCAAGTGAGTGACTCATGTGCTGCGCCCTCATGTGCCACTATGTCGCTGTTGCCATTCACTCTTGCACTCCCTCTCCTGCACTTGCTCTCTTACCGCCATTGCCCCCTCCGACCCCCCCCACACGCACACCCATCCCACGGTGGTGCGGGCAGGGACCGCGAGCGGTACGTGGCGGGGGACTACCGGTTCCGGCACGGGTACAGCAAGCACAACCCGCGCAAGATGGTCAAGGTGTGGGCCGAGAAGGAGTTCCGCAACCTCAACCGGTACACTCCCCCTCTCCCTCCTCTCTTCCTCGCTCCGCTGCCTTGCTCACTCCTCCTTGTATTCTGGCGCAGCGCGTCTTGAATAGCCGCACAAGCCAACTGCACGGTGCATCCATCGCCCCATGCTGCCCGCCTAACGCTCTCCACGCCCTGCCACCCGCGTGTCAGTGCCGGCCGGGTGTCTGGTTGACTGCATGGGCCTTTAATTCCATTGCGGCGGCACTGTGTGTCGATGAGCACCACACGTTCCGAATCCCCCTCTCAAGTCCCTCTGGCACATGCCACTCCACATTCCTACTGCTAACGCCTTCCTGTCCTTGCCTCTTGGTGCCGGCCGTGTGTCAGGTTGCGGGCGGCAGGAGTGACGTGTCCCGTGCCGCTCATGCTGCGCATGCATGTGCTCGTCATGTCCTTCATCGGTGCGTGTGAAAGCTAATTGCTGCTCTTGCGTCTGCCACTGCTTGCCAGTCGCCCTCCTGCAGCAGTTTTCTTCCTGTTTTTTACACCAACTAGGAGTTCCTTTTCTAGAATTGTAACGCGCTTTTGGCTATGGCATGGCATGGCATGGCATGGCACGGCAGGCACGGAGGGGTGGGGAGCCCCTCGGTTGAAGGACGTGCAGCTGTCGGAGGGGCGGTGGAGGGAGTGCTACGGGCAGGTGGTGGTGGCGATGTGGCGCATGTACCGCCTCTGCCGCCTCGTGCACGGCGACCTCAGTGAATACAACCTGCTCTACCTCCAGGTGCGACCTCAGTGAATACAACCTGCTCTACCTCCAGGTGCGACCTCAGTGAATACAACCTGCTCTACCTCCAGGTGCGACCTCAGTGAATACAACCTGCTCTACCTCCAGGTGCGACCTCAGTGAATACAACCTGCTCTACCTCCAGGCGTGACCTCAGTGAATACAACCTGCTCTACCTCCAGGTGCGACCTCAGTGAATACAACCTGCTCTACCTCCAGGTGCGACCTCAGTGAATACAACCTGCTCTACCTCCAGGTGCGACCTCAGTGAATACAACCTGCTCTACCTCCAGGTAACATATCTACTGCTATACGTCTATGACTATATACACATATGTTTTATATCTATGTTTTTATATTAATTCTATTAACATCTCCTCAACATTTGACCCCACTGTGACTGTACCAGGGGCGGGTGTGGGTGATAGACGTGTCGCAGTCGGTGGATCTGGACCATCCCCGCGCGCTCGACTTCCTCAGAGAGGACTGCCTGCACGTCACTGTGAGTGCACGTCACTGTGAGTGCACGTCACTGTGAGTGCACGTCACTGTGAGTGCATGTCACTGTGAGTGCACATGATTGCAAGTATCCACCCTTGGCATTTGCGCCCAGTGAAGTGCACAAGCCAGCAAAGTGCCACCCATGCCCGTTCTTCTGATCGCTTGTGTGATCCTCCCAATCGTCCCAAACATCCCCGCAGGATTTCTTCCGGCGAAAGGGCATGGCAGTGCTGACGGTGCGCGAGCTGTTTGACTTTGTCACGGACCCCGTCATGCCGGAGAGCCTCGTTGATGACTGCCTGCACAAGGTGGGGTGGGGTGGGGCCACTGCATGTGTGCGCGTGTGTTTGGCTTTCTGTGTTTCCTGTTGACACCTTTTGCACTTTCATGTTTATGTTTTGTGCATGTGTCTGCCTGTACCACTGTACATCCCCATTGATCTCGCTGCATCTCTCTCCGTGTGTGCGCATGGCACGGGCAGTTGCAAGAGAGGGCAGCCAGCAGGCCGTTGGAGCAGACAGCACAGGAGGCCATCGCTGAAGCTGTCTTCCTGCAGGTCAGTCACACTGCACCTGCTGCCTTTCCACGTTTTGGCCCACCTGCTCTTCTCCTCGCTCCAGTCACCTCCCCACATCCATCCATCCAACCCTGTTCCTCTTCCCCCCTCTCCCTCCCCCCCCGCCACAGTCGTTCATACCGCAGTCGTTGGATCAGGTGAAGGATGCGGAGAAGGACATCCGCCGCATCGCCTCCGCTACCAAGGCAGCAGCGCAGCAGCACGCAGCCGCACAGCCCGGGGGGGATGCGCCCAGCAGCACGCAGCAGGGGGCGGCACAGGGTGGAGGAGGAGAGCAGGGCGCAGCAGTGGGTGCAGCGGCAGACGCAGCAGCTAGCAGCAGCAGCAGTGCAGCAGCAGCGCCGTCATCGGAGGCGCCCCCTCTGGAGGGCATCTTCTACCGCTCGCTGCTGGGGCTCAAGGAGGACCTCTCCGGCGTGCGCACCCTGCCCGACATCCTGCAGAGCGCTGAGGGGCGCGGTGTGGAGGAGGCGGGGCAAAGCGGTGGGAAGGAGTGTGAGGAGATTCCGGGAGTAGTGAGGCCGGGAGGGGAGGGGGTGGAGGGGGGGGAGAGGAATGAGAGTGAAAGGGGCGGTGAAGGGATGGTGCCACGTGACCTGCGTGGGGGAGCAGAGGGGATGGAGGGTGGAGAGGAGCAGCAGAGCAAGGAGGGGAGTGAGGATGGGAGTGAGGAGGGAAGTGATTTCTCAGAGGATGAGGGAGGCGAGGAGGAGGGTGGAAGGCGGGGCAGGGAGGGAGCGGTGAGCAAGGAGGAGGTGAGGGCGGCGCGCAAGGAGAACAAGAAGAAGGTGAAGGAGGAGAAGCGAGTGGCTCGTCTCACCAAGGTGCCCAAAGCTGCCAAGAAGAAAAAGCAGAAGGCAGCTCAGAGCAAGAAGCGATGAGGGAAATACATGGTAATACGGCAGCTTCATTAAGTCTCAAACGTGTGTGCACTGTCTGTTGTGTTAATGCCTGCGGCCAATCTGTGTTAATCGTATGAAAATTGAGCAAAAAGTGTCAAGCAGCACCAGCCGTTTCACAAGCCTACTGCCGAGTGGCCAAGCCCAAGGGGGCTGCACTACTGTTACTGTACGGTATCTTTTTGCTTGGTATATAATGATGTTTAAAACACCATGTGCCAAGGTTCTCGAACCTACCTCCCAACCAATCTCCTGCAACGGAACTCACAGGGGCATGGGAAAACGCACTGAGACTGAAACCACACACAATTTGACAGCAGAAAGTAGCTTCTCTTCCTTTCCAGCTTGTTGGAGCAGGAAAGCCGCTCGAAAGAAGGGCCCAACCCAACCACCTGTTGCTCGCTACAGGATTCGTACGTTGGTTAATTGCAGGGGATTGATGTGTCAGTTGTGATGGAGATGAGCGTGGTCGCTGGGGCTGCAGCCACCAGCGTTCCACTGGCCGACTCATGCTCACCACTGGGCGGACAGTGGGCCGTGCAGTGAGCAACACCCTGTGCCTCTGAGGAGGGGACACAGATCACATGCCACTGCACGCACAACTTGCAAGCTCTCGGTGAGCTTGAGTAGAATGCTCTGATCACACTGCACTGCAACAAGCATCCAACAGGAACGTGACATGCATGAAAATAATACAATGCTTGTCTCCCAAGCACACCAGGGCAGGCAGGGCAGTGTCTGGCCAGTTGCAGCTGTTGGGCTGAGTGCCCCTTAGGATCTTTGGTAGGGTTAAACTCTGGGTAGGGTGATGTAGTAGCGGAAGCATTTAAATGAAGTCCTTGAACCACCTTGCGCTGGTATGTGAGGCAGGGCCTATTTTTCAAGGGTAAAACACACTGATTACACTTACCAACGGCCAGTTTTCAGAGTTTACCCTGATTTTGGCAGCCTGTTTTGTCTGTTCCCCTTTCTGCAAAAGTGTAGACTTACAGAGTAGGCTGATTTTGCAAGGGTGCCTTAACTTTTAGCCTTGCCAGGCAGGATGCAAAAAAAAACGTACTGAACCAGGAAATGACAGGCCGCTAAAATCTGCTCGCCTCCCAGCCCTGCTCGCCTCGCCTCCCCCTCATCCAATCCCCTTTCTCGGAGGCTCGGAGTCCCAGGCCCGATTTCCCCAAACTGTTCACCTCTTCCGATTGATCAGGGCCCCGTTCCCTTCGTCACTTCCAGCCTCACCCCGCATCCCCCCCGCCCCCCCCCCCCCCCCCTTTTCCCCGTTTCTTTCGGCTCTCCAAACTTCAACCCCCCCTATTTCCTTCACATATCCCAGCCCCTGTCCCCCCATTCCCCTCGACCCTCAACACTCCGACATTTTTATCGCCCACGTTGTGGAAAGCAAGCAAGGTCTCGCTACAAGCTAATGAAGTGAATACCGTATAAGGTGTGAGAAAAAACATAAAGGAACATTTACCCTTACACAAAAAGGGTGTTCTTTCACCGCTCTCATTTTACCCTGATTTTGACAGGGTATTTTTTTTTCCATCCTGATAGACAGGGTGACGTCAGCAAGGCACCCTGATTAGCAAGAGAGCACTAAAACCAATTTTGGGCCCTGATGTGAGGGCAAAGTAAGTTGATTAAAATAAGCAAGTACAAAGGTTTATATAAGAGTACAAATAATACGAAGAGATATAATTAAACTGTTTTACTGTTGCGGTTCGATACAGTGCGACTCGGGCAACTGCTCAATGTCGAGTCAGTTGTGTGTCCTTGCTGTCGTGCTGCATTTGTCAAGTCAAAAGTCGCTGACCTTTGACTTTCGCGTAACCTCCAGCGGTTACTTCAACCTCCGAGGGTTGACTCGCTGGTGCCTCGATACCGTATTCTCCCGGATAAAACACCCTAGGGTATTATGAAAACCACCGGAAAAAAATGGGGGGGGTCTCCTCAACGGAAAATCCTGTATAATACCCGGGTCTTATTATATTGTATATTTTTTTTGAAGCAGAAATGATGTGAAACAAAATGTGGGGTGTCACTTCACTTCTAGATTGTTGATCAGTACCGCAAAACCGAGTATACGAGGATTACGTGACCGCCCACTGGAATCTGCCACATGGCAAATTTCAGTGGGCAACTCTGGCACCTGATAGGGTACCGGTAAAAACATAGCCAGCCTTGCGTAGCGAGAGTTCATGCAACCGCCGAGGCCGGAATCGCACACGGTGTTGCGTTGCCCTTGCAGCAGTCATGTCTTGACTGGTTTGGGCACATCCCTGTGCCTCAAAGGTTCTCTCACCTTCTCTTTGTGCAGTGGTTCCAGTGCACGATACTGAAGAGTGCTCGGTAGGCTGTGAGAGCGCCATAGTCCTGCACTCAAGCATCTTTGTTTTTACCGTAGCCATTTCTGCCATGGCGAGTGACACTAACCTGCAGTAGACTAGAATGGCTTTCTCACCCGATTCAAGCAGTACGGTAGTTAGGCGGCAGTACCCTTTTAATTCTCAGTGTGCCGCTGCTGCACGCCCAAGGACGTCGCCTCGCCCCGTCTTGCCCTAGCCGTCTCCTCCTGGTAGTGCTTCTACCAGGGATGAACTGAGCAGTAGCTCTGAAGCCCCTCGCCCTCCCCTTCCACGAGTGGCTGTCCCCACCTTCCCGGTCAGTAAGTGACAAAATTAGAAGAAAGAAAGAGAGCTTGACTAGCAAGAATGGGGATACAAATAGCAAACCCTAACAGGGTTGTACTCGCTATAGAGCACCCCACTACAGGCTAGATAAGAACATTCTGACACACCCCCATAGCCAAAGTGGGGTGTAATCAGCAGAGCAAGCAAAGCAGAACAAGCTCAGGGTGGATCACAATGTCACCACACATTCTGAGCACAAGTTCAAGAAGCAATAGTTTAAAGTTAAGAATTCTGAGCAAAGCTAGAGGCTATCGCAGAGGGCAAGTGAGGAGGAGGAGGCGAGAGTGAGAGGAAAGGAGATAGGAGGCGACGGATGAAGCTGCAGACACACGGGCAACAGGAGGCAGACTGGCACAGCGGCTACCGGACGAAGCCCCCGGACTACAAGGGTAACTGGCCTCGCGGCTAAAGTAACGGCAGACGAGCAACGGACCCACGGGCGGCTGGCACAGCTGGCTACGACTGAGCTACCGGACGAAGCCCCCGGACTACAGGTGCTGCTAGTGACACAGCGGCATCCTTCATTCAGCTCCCCAAACAGTCTCACCCCCCCTTGCACACACCCCCTACTGCACCCCTAGGGTCACTCACACCCCACCCCCTAGCACGACTCCAGCGACTCCCACACACCCACCCCCCTGAGCGGCAGCTGCAGCAGTGGGAGACAGAGGAGGAGGAGGAGCAGGGGAGACCACACACCCGCCACCCCCATACTCGCCACCCCCTACTCGCCACTCCCCAAACCCTAACTCAGGCAGGGCGGGATGGCGGGTAGGGATGTTACGGGGCGGGGGGGGGGGGGGGGGGAACCGACGCGCGGCCGCCCAGGGCGCCAAGACAGGCAGCAGAAGGGGGGGCGGTGCTCGCCCCCCTCCCCCAGGTAAGTCCTCCTGTCGGGCCGAGACAGCGGCGCACGGGCGGCGACGGGCCGGGGCTGGCGGCGCACGGGCGGCGACGGGCCAGAGCAGCTGCGCGGGGCCGGGACGGGCGGCGCACGGGCAGCGACGGGCCGGGGCAGCGGCGCACGGGCAGCGACGGGCCGGGGCAGCGGCGCACGGGCGTCGACGAGCCGGGGCAGCGGCGCACGGGCGTCGACGGGCCGGAGCAGCTGCGCGGGGCCGGGACGGGCGGCGCACGGGCGGCGACGGGCCGGGGCAGCGGCGCACGGGCGTCGACGGGCCGGGGCAGCGGCGCACGGGCGTCGACGAGCCGGGGCAGCGGCGCACGGGCGTCGACGGGCCGGCGCGCGGGTCCCCGTCGCCCGTCGCAGCGCCTCCCGAGGGCGACGCGCCGAGCGACGAGGCAGAAGCCCGCCGCGCGCCTCGGGGCGCACAGCGGGCAGAGAACCGCCGTGCGCCTCGGGGCGCACGGCGGGAAGAAAAACTGCCGCACGCCACGGGGCGTGCGGCACAGAGAGTAGCAGTAGAAGTTGCAGCGGAAGCAACGAGGTGGTGGTAACCCACCCACAGGATCGATCCAAGGGGATCGACCTGCTCTGATAGCATGACAAAATTAGAAGAAAGAAAGAGAGCTTGACTAGCAAGAATGAGGATACAAATAGCAAACCCTAACAGGGTTGTACTCGCTATAGAGCATCCCACTACAGGCTAGATAAGAACATTCTGACAGTAAGCGCCCGCAGGGACAGACGAAACGCAACGCGGATGGTGAGACACCATCCCCTCGCCATCGTATGACGAAGAAGGTGCGTCACGGGATCACTGTGAAGGAAAAGCTGCACTGGCTGAAGATGCAAGACGCTCAGCCCGATCTTGGGAACCGCGCCCTGGCGAAGCTCGCGAAGGTGCAGCCCTGCCAGATCCGCGACTGGAAGAAGCTGAGGGAACGGCTGGAGGTCGCATCTAGCTGCCGCCGTCGCCTCGTGGGTTCCGGCCGCAAGGCGAAGTACCCGTTCATGGAACGGGCAGTCTACCGCCATTTCCTTTCCCACCGGGCGAAGGGGCTCGCCGTCTCGGTCCGCATGCTCCAGCAGTGGAGCTCCAAGTACATGAAGCACCGGATGCCTTCGGTCAATTGGCGCGCTTCGTTCCGCTGGGCGACACGTTTCCGCGCGCGCTGGCACTTGGCGAGGCGGGTGAAGTCGAAGATGGGGCAGAGGTTGGCCGTCGGTAAGTTATCGTTTAGTATGCTTGTGTTTTTTTCCACGAAGTTGATCTAGTGCTTGCCGTGGCACTGTCTGCAGACTGCAAGGAGAAGGTGGAGTCGTTCTGGGAGTTTCTGCGCCAGATGCGCACTGTGCACGACTACCCGCTCGACCTCATCGTTAACGCGGAC